ACAATAGGCATGGAATAAAATTATAAAATTTGAATAAAATAAAATTATAATAATATACACAACAGATTTTAAAATGACAATTTGTGGCCCAATTCTTAATACTTTATTAAGAAGACTGTTGTCTTTATCTATAATAGTGTGTAAAAGCATTTAGCAGTTTCCTTGAATTATCTAGAAACTTTCTTATGATAAAATCATAAAAGTTATATGGCCAACATTTGTAGGGCTAAAAATGACGTATGAAAGCTTATTTTCAATTTAAAAAATGAATAATAAATAATAAAAGGCAAGTCTATATTAAAATTATAAAAGATAACAAGTAAAGTTAATGAAAGGACAAAAAGGCTTTCACTCTTAAGTCACTCAATTTGTTAGAAGAAAAYAAATAAACTACCAAATACAAAAGCCAGGTGTCCCCTTTAATAGTAACTGGCTAATAATAAACTGTCTCTGGTTAGACTAACTTAGAGACATATAAAACTAATTAAGAAAAGGAAGATAGTTGATAAACATACATGTGTAGATATAGTCTATGCTTTGATAACTTGTAAATATGGATCAGAGACTTACCTTTAACAAGGGATAGTTGATACTTGCATCCCATATGTTGGTAAAAGGAGCTTCCAAGACAATGGCATCAACTGGGCATCCTTGAAAATAGTAAAAKAAAAAAGAAAAAAATAGTAATTCCCCTATTCAAATACCAMCTTCCCTAGATAAGGGATCCTCACAGTCTTGTACATGAACTACCTGCTTCAAAATGATTTGCAAGGCTTATTAACAATGCAATTTCCTGGACCCCACACCACACTCAAGAGTCACAGTGTTGGGAGTAAGGAACAAGAGTGTTCATTTTTAACAAAGTTTCTCCTCCACCCTTGAGGTTTTTATGCAGATGATGGTTAAAACCACTACCTTCTTCYAAGAATACAAGATTTTTCAGGGCTTGGACAATTTAAGAAAGCAAAGCACTACAGGGAGACAGAGTATTCTGAAGTCTATTGTTTAAAATGTGCCAGAGAGAGATTAGGTTGTTTTGGGCAATATCCCCTCTGCACAATTAGAAAATGTATGGGGAAGACAGTATGTGTATGTGTATGTGCATATTTATATGTTTGAAGGCACATGAGGATTACTGATCAGTGAGAATTTTCAGAGCAAATACCACTGAGAAAAGCCAAGAGAGTTTGAGCTGCCTTTCCCCTCAAATCAGCTGAAAGCACTGGTGGATAGTTGACAGAATTAGAAATTAAACAGTACTTTTAGTATTCTTCACAACCAAAAGGAGAAAATGAGAGTTCAGGATCTGACAAAGGGGAAGATCCAAGAACATTTCTCAAGCTTTTGGTTGTTACCTCAAAGAACTACACAGTAGGAGAGGAATAATAATGGACCAGAAATAAACCAGCTTTCATAAAAGCTTAAGCAGAGCTTCGAATCAGCTCAATCTCTGATTGGATTCAAGTAATCTGTTCATAGCACAACTGCCTTTCAGAAGAAAAGTAAATYATTTCTGGAAGAAGACAACATCACYCCAAGTCTTAAATCATCTCTATGATTATCCATAAAAATTACTAGCACTTAATCAAAAATAACTAGACATATGAAAATAAAGAAAAGAGGGTTGGAGGTGTAGCTCAGTGGTAGCATGCTTGCCTAAAATGCA